GTGCTGTTCCAGTCGTTTTTGGATAATCTTCAGTAAAATCTTGCTTGCATGTGAAATCAGTGAGATTGTTCTGTAGTTTCCACATTCTGTTGGGTCACCTCTCTTTGGGATAGAAACAAATATCGATCTCTTCCAGTCAGTTGGCCAAGTGGTTGTTCTCCAGATTTCTTATTATCATCAAATTTAATCCACCATCATTCCCTCTTTATTCCTGAAATTCAAACACTCTTTCCCCAGTTTTCAAAGTCTGCAATAGTTCTAATTACAAAGATAACTATTAAAATATTTAAAAGTTTTATTCTCTACTCAGCTTTTGTCCCCCCCAATATGGATTGAAGCTCAACATCCAGAAAACAAAGATTCTCACCACTGGGCTGACTGGAAGCATCATGATAGATGGGGAAGAGATTGAGATTGTTAACAGCGTTAGTTTGCTTGGCTCCACAATCAACACTCTTGGTACCAGCAGCCAGGCAATTAAAAGATTAATTACACAGGGGAAGTCTGGTGCTAGAGACCGTTCCAAAATACTGAAGAGCAACAAAGTCAGTCTGGAGACTAAGGTGCATGTGAAACAGGCCATGATCTTTACAATTACTTGTTATGTATCAGAAAGTTGGACAATGTCTAGGGATGACAGGAGAGCTGATGCCTTTAAACTGTGGTGCTGGAGAAGAGTACTAAATATACCATGGGCTGCTAGGAGAAGAATCAAGTTCGTCCTAGAGAGGGTGGGACCAGGCTGCTCCTTGGAGGCAAGGATTCTGAAGCTTTGTCTGACATACTCTGGACATGTTGTAAGGAGGGACCAGTCCTTGAAGAGGGATGTCATGCTTGGGAGGGTGAAGAAACAGCACAAGAGAGGAAGATCCTTGATGAGATGGATTGATTCAGTGACTGGGGTAATGGGGGTAGATGTGTCAGAGATAGTAAGATTGGCATAGGATAGAGCAGGGTTTAGGGCTGTTGTACATAGGGTTGCTATGAGTCACAGGTGACTCAACGGCCCATAACAACAACTCGACTTTTTTGGGAGGGGTGAAGAGTCCAACATACATGAAAGGTAGTCTGGCAGCAGATTCTTTTTAACTTTATTTTAAGAATAACTGTCTCTCCATATGTTAACCCTAAAATTATGTTTTTGTTATCATAAAAACTAGATAGATGATCGCATGCTCTACAAAGCCTAAAATATTTACTTTCTGCTCCTTTATAGAAAGTTTCTCAACTCTCATATAGCTGTTGTTGTTTGGTGCCGTCGAGTCGTAGACGACTCATAGCGACCCTATGAACGAACAGCCTGAGCACTGTTCGTACATAGAGTTTCCAGAGGCAAGCCATTTCGGAAGTGGATGCCGCTCCTGCTTCCAGGCTTGATTTAGTTGGG